CCCCACTCTCCAGAGATCATAAGAAATAATCATGTGGCAAGTTCAGACAGTTTGCTTTAGCTCCATTTCCAGAGCATGTGATTGTTAACAGTGATTAAATCACTGAAGCTTTGGTTACTGAAAAGCAAGCATTCATTCTCAGACCTCTCACTTAGACTGAAAGCAGGCATTAGAACTAGCGGACAAACGCTAGTATTAAGGATGAAAAGCAGCCTGCTGCAATCTTTGTTGTGTTTTATGGGGCTGTGGCCATCACAACACTGACCTACTCCTGCTGCTGAAGCTTCACTCACAGGACTGACATCAGCATTACCCTATTTAGGTACGTAGGGGATGAAAGAGAGAGGTTGGGAGCTGTATTTTGAGCTCACACTACTTTTAAGCATCCAAAAAGAGCTTGCTGTTAAAAATAAACATGCTTTTAATTCGTAATACTACAATACCCATGAGGTCCAGCCACAGCTAAGGTTCTGTTGTGCCTGGATTTCTGGAACAGAGCTGCCAAAGACACCATTGCAGGCTGCCAGTAACACGAGGCACTCACTACAGCTTTTTGCCAGACTTTGGCCATAGGCCAAGATGTTGCTGCTCCAAAGCCTTCAGAGGCCTGTGGCCACACCAATCAGGTCCTAGTGGAAAATGCATCTTGTGAAATGTGGAGCACACTCTAGGCTGGAGACATTTCACAAGATGCATTTTCCACTCTAGGCTGGAAAACAGCTCAAAATAATGTAGTTGTACTCAAACTCCACTCTGATAACTACACTACTATTCACCAGAGCTGTGAAGACACTCAGACTAGCATAGAACCACCTCCACCTACTCCTCACTTTCTTCCAGCCAGGTTTTCCTCCCCTAGAACTGCTGTCCAGTAGCAAGGACGCTTGCTGGTAACCATAATAACAAAGCAGCACATGCTGCATTCTACAGAGGTCTAGAAAAAGGCTTTATTTATGACTAGGCTTGATTCAACAACAACATGAGGCCTTTGATGTAGAATATTCTCAGTATCTCCCTGCATTTCTTCCTTTAGCAGACAATACTCTACTAGATTGCTTCTGGATTCATTAGTGTAATTTTAGTTCACCAGCCAGCATGCTAGCTCTCAGATCCCAAGTAAAAGTTTAGGGAAAAAAAAAATAGGACAAAGTTCATCCCTGACTATAGTTTCCTAACTGAAGTGTCCACTACAAAGCAACACAGAAAGAGACTTTGGAATATAAGTTCCACACTGGGAAGAACTGCAAGTTAGCAAGTATTTACTTACCTCTTTGAATGGCTTTATGTAATAGACTCCAGCCTCTCTTGTCTGCCCTATCCACATCAGCCTTGTAGTTGACCAGTGTAGTTGCAATACTCTCCAATCTCTGGGAAAGGGCTAGATCCAAAGCAAGATCTCCATTGTGATCCAATTCATTGAGCTTCCCAGGAAGCTACAACACGAAGTCAGTCAACTGATGTTAGAGGTATGCTCACCAGCCCAACATTACATTTTAACAGCCCATGCCAACTACCGAGTTAGTTTTGCTCTAAAACAAAATGCTGACATGGCATTTAGGTAAGTGCATCTTACACAGGAAAGCAATCAGAAGACCAGTATCGCTACATGTAAGTCTACCCAGAGGGCTGTTTAATGAGAAAAGAGGAGGAGTTCTGTATGCATGCCTTGTTTAACTCACAGGAAGAAAGTACACTCTTAAGAGGCTGCACATATAGGCAATTCAACCTAATTCTAGGAAGACTTATTCAAATAATCCCTTAAGATACTCCAAAACCCAACCAAATTAGCACTTGGGGTGCTATGTGCTGCTATAGTCCCAGCTTCCAATGAAGAGTTGAGACATCTTAAAGGACTAATTATTCAAGTATTAATTATCAAGAATTGGTCAGTATTTCCTTCCCCATTCTTGGGAGACAATGTATTGGCTAGTTCTTTCAGGTGTTCATCCAAATAGAACAAATACCTTTCAAACATTCAATAGAAGAGGAACTGCCACAAAGCAGCAAAGTTGACTGCTACACCATACCATTTTAAATGTGCACAGCAATACCAGGTATGGGATTCTATCAGATAGAGCATCTTGCATGCAAAGGATTGCAAAAGTGTTAGGAATCACTTATGAATTGTGCCTTTATGGACCCTTTACTGCTACACCTCCACTCCATGGATAGAAGTAGTGACATAGCAATGGCAGACTTGCAAGTAAGTGACGAACATCAATAGTGACATTAGTGACAAACATCAATAACAAGGTTCAGACTGGTAGCAAGAAACTAGCTATTTGAAACACCAAATTCTAGAAGACAGAGCAAGTCAATCTCACTATACCTGTGAATCCATTTCAATAAGATACAGAAAGACCACATCTTCTCTCTCAACTTTAATAGCTTTATGCAAAGGATATTCTGTCTTCGACTTGAACATTTTATACAACAACTGAGCACTCATGCTACTGAAGTCTTCTTTGCGCAAGTCATCCTAGAAGCAAGAAAAGAAAAGAAAAGCAGTAATCCCTATTTTATTTATAAACAAGGCATTGCACAATGTAATTATGAAGTTCACAAAACAAGTTCAGTTAAAAGCTCCATTTTTGTAACATGACAACAAGCAGGAACAATCAGAGATAGCCTTTGAAGACTATGAAGAAACAGTTTTACACTTTATATTTTAGTTTCAAGATCAGCTAGTGATATTTTAATTCCCTTTTGTCTATAGAGATGTAAAATTAGCATTTTACCAGATTGTTACAGCAGATGAACATCTAGGCTCTAACTAATTCTCTATCTCAACTTAAATCACAGATTAGAGTTTTCTGACAGAAATGCCTACTACTGTTGAAGAATGACAACTCCACAGAGCTAGAACCACCTCTGAATAAAAGTAAACAAACTCAGAAGTATAAAAAGACCCTCTATTTGAGTTAGTGCTTATTTGACTAAACGGAAACAATCATTTCCAGACAGTAGACAGTGTCAAATTTAGGAGCCAGAAGCAGGGAAAAAATTACAACAGCTGACCTGCAGGTTCAGATACAAGAATCCTTTCTGATATAGTCAGACCAAAGCAGTCCCCTCAGCCCTGGCCAAAGGAACACCCACATCTGCATGATGCATTTTTAGAATAAAAAGAAATTGTCAAGCACCAGTCTTCTGCTGACAAAAGTCTTATTTTAAAGATTAATCATTAGAGAGTTAAACAAACTTCCCTCAAAATATCAGATCAGAGCAAGTGAGACTTCCAAGTCAGTTGCAAGACTCCTTGCCACTCTCAATTACAGAGGATGGATTCTTCTCTGGTTTCCCTGCATTATTTTTAGAAGTAAAACAAGGCCTGGGATTTGTGATCTGTGTAGACAGAGACCAACTATGGATGAACTTCTGAACAATTCCAAGTCCAGATTTGACAAGCAACTCTCTTGCTACAAACAGGAACAGCTCTTCAGGCTACAAGCTACTTCCTGTCTGACTCTAGACATTGACACCACAATAGACACAACCTCTAAAGACAACAAAAAAAATCTTAGAGAAGGAGCCATAGCTTTTAGCAACACTGTTGCTCCTTGCAAACATACAAGGGTCAGCATAATAGGTCACCTTAGTCACTCTTAAGTTATCCGGAATCCAAGTAATCCCCACCCAACTGGAATGCTTGAATACTAATATACCAAGAGATACTCCTGGGTTTGGACAGTACAGTTAAGTTTAGCAAAATTCTACTGGTTAAGTTCCTATACTCTGCAAACACTTTGGCTTCCTACTCACAGTACTCACCCAGTGACTAGCAATTATCTCAGCACAGTAGTTGAGAAGCGTGCCAGCATTCAGCTCCTCAGCCGTCTGATAGAAGCGAATGCAGTTCCTGACATTAACTAGTGACATAACTCCTTTTTCACATCTGTCAAAATAGGAAAGTCAGTGTTCAGTAATCACACAACAGCTTTACTGTAATCACTCTGCATGCTGTAACAGGGTTCTACATACTTCTTTTCCTAGATGCCAGTAGAAAAAGACTTGGCCTTGCTTTACTATAAGGCTAAGTAGCATAAATGTACTTTAACCAGAAGCCCTATAAGAGTTTCCCTAAGAGCAGACGCCTATTAAATAGACTCTAAGCTAAGGTCCCCTGAAATACCACATACTGCAGGAGCCTGCAAGTGGAGACCGACATCCTAGTTCTCCTAACGGAACAAACTGCAGTTCATTCACCATTATGAGGTACAGAGGATGTTCAGCTCTACAAGCAGTGATCACAAGCAGCTTTTGTGCCAAGGCTAGGAAGAGCCATGCCAAACGCAGCTATTTGTTTCATGAGCAGGGATAAACTTTAACAGTAGATCCACCAAATCTTTATAGGTGGGAAACTATTAGTTTGACTTGACAGGAGGAAAACTCAAGTACCTCAAAATGAAGATAAACATGCCAGTGATCTCTTAAGATCAAAAAAAAAAGGAAACACTTATCTCCAGGTGCAGATACCTACCAAGACATCTCAATTATTAGCAGCATATTGTATGTGGACTTCTAACTAGACTAGTCTGAACATACAACAGCCAGGGAATGTTTAGGTCACACAACACAAAGACAGTTTTAGGCTGGTACAAAGCTTGAAGGCAGTTTTAGTGCTGGCCTTACAGATGACAACTACTTTGACTAGAAGAATTAAGACCAATTTAGTTTCCTTCATGTTGACTCACAGTTAAATCATAGATTAAGAGTGCTCTGAATTGGTACAGCCCCAGACGCCCCTTGGGCAAAACATTATTACAAATCACACTATCTTTGACTAAATTCAAGGCTTCCAGGAGGTACAAAATCTGAAGGTATTTCAATCTGTACGTTCAGACTTCTCACTAACTGTAAGTCGTTTAGTGTATTCTGTACATTCAAGATAACAATCTAGCCCCTACAAAAGTCATGTAATCATCATCTCTTCAAAGTGGCCAAGCATTGCACTGTTACATTAGCCTTCTTTATGAAGAATTGCCAAGATGTACAGAACAGCTATTTAAGTTAAAGCTTTCAATGTGGCATTGTAGTACCATAATGCTAGAATAGTCAGGGGCAGGTAGCTTCTCTTTAACAACTCCTTTCTTGCAACTCTCCAGAGCTTGTTACTAATACACTGACCTCTGCTTCCTCTTAATGCAGAATTAGGACTGGGAGAAGAACTCGAAAGTAAACATCAAAGCCATGAGAAAACTGCTGCAGTTTAACTGTAGTGCAAGGCTTCATTCCCTGTGATCAACTGGATGTCATGCTGTATTACTGAAAACCTCAAGACTTTGAAAAAGCATAATTTTATCCAGTTGCCAGCAGCTATCATCTCACTTCTATACAAACAAGGTTGAAGAGTTCAAGAAGATTCACTGTATTTACCAAGGCTCACCTTTCCCTAAGCAGCTGGAGCTGAAATTTATTAGCTAGTTTCATGAGCTCTGTCAAGAAGATATCATCTTCTCTTAGCTCAAGTTCATCTGTGTAGATCCAGCGCAGCATTGCCATGGTTACCTCTGGGTCAGCATCTGGTACAGGGAGCAACAGGGATTAATAAAATACTCAAAGAACAATCACCTATTCAAGTAGCTGCTGTTGCTCTGACTGTTAAAGTCACAGCCACCATTAAAAAAAAAAAGAGCCTCATTGGAACTGTACTGCTTTAGTTCAATCAAAATATAAAAACAGAGACAAAACTGGTCAGAAGTTGAAACTTGTAGCAATGCTAGAACCAAGCAGGAAAATATTTTTTTCTATTGGAACACTGTGCAGAATGCAGGAAGCACTGTAACATCTCCTGCCTGCTACACAAGTATCTCATATTTAGGGGCTGATGTCAAGTCTTTGGTTCCTCACATATGGCTAAACCCACATCTACATTTGACAAATCCCCCTTTCTATTTAAGAATCCTTCCTCTTTTACATTACAGCCATAAGTTATGAACTGTTGCATTCCAATAAAGGTATTTATACCTTGGTAACAGCTAGAAAACATTTAGAACTGCTGGGATCCAGGAAAGGTGCAAAGAATCTGTTTAAGAGGCTGGTTAGATTTCAGGTGTTCACAACACTGATCACAAGCCTGATCTTTCTAAACAGCAAGAGCAATAGGAACCTACACCACAGGACATGAGCTACACAAGCCCAGTGGCCAGGACCTTTGTCACCTAATCAGAAGCACAGTGAGCCTCCTTCCAAGGATGTAGATGAGAATTGCTCCACAATGCAACAGACCAATTACCATTCATTTAGAAAAACAACATTAGCCCCTTACACTGTTTTGTTTATTTAAACCATGAATGTTTAAGACACTGAAATACCCATCCTAAGACATCTCCTTTACATGGAGAGTTGCCTCAGACTACTTGCAGAGTACCAGATAGTACTTGGCACAGCATGTAGACTGTCTAAGGAACATAATGTTTTAGTAAAGCAAGTATCTTTTGCTGAACTTGAAGTAACCAGAAAACCTACTTGAGCTGTAATATCAGCTCTGCCTTGGCAGAGCTAAGAGTTCTCTTGTTGGGAGGGAAAAAAAATGAATCTGTGCTCATCTCTTTCTACTCTTCTAAAAGAACAGAGAATTCTGCAGATTACAGGAACTCTGAAAACTCTCCATTTTAAATGCTGCCTGTATTTTGAAGTTAGGATTCAGGCAATCTTAAGTTCTTAAGAAAACCATGACAGTTGTTAGGGAACAGTTTGTTTACAACCCTTTCAGAACCTAACCAGTGCACAGTTTACTAAGTTTTCTAAAAAAAATTTCCATTTTACACAGTGAAAAGTATCATTTACAGCACTTATTTTAAGCATCGTTCTGTAACAGGAAGTATATGCATTGTTAAACATGCAATACAAGTTACACTTGAGATTCCCAGACTAGCTTAAATGTGCAGCTACAAATGCTGTGGCCTGCCACTTGCAACAAAATTCCAATTAACAAAAAAGCTTTTTGGCAATAAAGTTCTGTTAGCATAGCACTCAATTCAAAAACTCCTTCGTATCTGTCTTCTGGTGGCTGCAGAAAGATCCATAAATCTTTTTACAGGAAAGCCTATGCTGCCTCATAAAACTAGCTTGCTGTGACATGCTTCTTTCCAGTCTGTCTGCACTCAGGATTCATGATAAGGGCAGAAAAGTGAAACCAATGCTTAATATTCAACATGCCAGCCAGCAAACCTGCTTAGCTTCATGCCTGCTTTTATCACTCAAAAGTTAACTGTAGAAGAGTCTATGCTGTTAAGCACAAAAAAGCCTGTCAAGAGGCTGAATCTGCAGAAATATTGGCCGGTGTTAAGCACATGCAAGGAACTGCTACAGCAGAATAAAATACCACCTTGTAAGAGATTGTCTTTTAGAAAACTTACAGCCTATTTTACAAAGGTACCAAAGTGCCAAAGCAAAAAAAAACTTATTAGTAATACATCAGTATTTGTATTCATTTCCCACACACACCCTGTTAACAAGAAGCAAGGTATTTCCATGACACTTCAGAGAAATTATGCACACTACCTCAAAAAGCCCTGTCCTTAGAAAGGAAGAAGTCAAGCTCCTCCATATAGATTTGTCTTTCATTATGTTTAGTTGACTCTAGAAAAGAGAGAGACCACCATTCTCAACCCCTGTTCATTAAAGAGAATGAAGGTAGGTTATGGGTTTAACTAGCACCAGCACCAAGTTCACACGCATACCACCATGGTTCACAGCCAAAGCTCCGTAATTAATGGATTAATCACCACTTTTTGGTGAAAGTAGTAGTGTGAAAGGTACATAAGGAACCTCTCCCCAGCAGGCCTTTTCATCAGTCATCCTAAAGATAAAGCATCATGTAAGCAGAGACTGACCTGAGAGATCCAGCTCCTCTGTTGAGGCAAGGCTGGCAAGACTCCAAGTATCACTGCGTGCTGCCAAGACGAATTTGTGAGCACTGATGTGCTTGTCCCCAACCTTTACCTTCAGATCACTGATAAGAGATTAAAAAAGCATATACATGGATAATGCATATTTCCCCTGTGTTTAGATACGTACAGATTCAGCATCTCCACAGTATCCACATTTAGGTTCAAGCCATTTCAGACATCAAAATACTTAATTGGTTAAGTAGAACATGTTGCCAAATGGCACAATTTGTATTTTTCTAGGGAGAAATACAAAACATTAGTATTAAAAGCTTTTGGTTTTGGGGTTTTGTAACTCTTTTGGAATAAACTGCAATAAACTTCATGGTAGAAGACAGAAAAATCCAACAATCTTGAGGTTAAACACCTACGTTGCAATGTCTGTACTAATACCATCAACCAAGCACCAATGGTTTCAGGCAAGACCAGCACAAGAACAAACAATGTTTGACAGCAGTCTGAGCACAAGGTAGACTCCAAGAATCACCAGTTCCCAGGAGACCAGCTGTCAAGAACACTTGGATTTCATTCTGACCCCTTTAATATCAGGTTATCCTTTCTAGTTAGGAAGCACCTGCCTTGTTTATTTTAAAATCCCATAGCTTCTAAGTGTATTTTCCAGACGATTTTCTAAGCCAAAGGCCTGCTATACACTAAAGTACAAAATAGAGATGTTAATTAACAAAACTTGCATTAGGACTTGCTTCCTTTCTCCTTTCATGACTAGAGCACTATTCTATGCCTTTAAAATTCAAAGGCTGAACAGAAATGAAGTGATCCAGCTTTTCTGACATATGCTATACTAAGTTCTTGCCAGGCACACAGCCTTTTCTCAGGGAGGCTCACAAAGAGATGTTAGTTTTTATTAACATCTCCTCCCCTATCTATTTTCCCCTCACATGACTGAACTCCTATCCCCTATTGGCTCTGCTTTCAGTAACAGCAAAGAAATTGGTAAGTCTCATCGTGGTCTCAGAATTAAGTTGGTTAAGGGACCCAGAGTATTTAAGGTGAGCCTTACTGTGCCTATGGAAAGGAAGCCATTAAACCTACTTTTGTGTTGAGATTCAAAGGACAAGGTATTATTTATACCATCAATTCACATACATCACTGTCTTAAGTCCTGTTACAACATACAGGCAAACAATCAGGCTTCTTTACACACAACAGGGGTACAGACCTGGACTCAAGGACACAGCCTTTCAAGAAAGTAGGGCTTTCCAGTTGCTAGCAATATATCATGTAATTAATCCATCAGCTAGGTAGAGATCAGCTTAAAATTACTTCTGTTCAAAGTGAGCTTTGCTGTTGACAGTGAAAGTAGTCAGTTTTCTTTAAGCTTGTCTTAAATGTCAGTCTCAAAGATGAATCACGAACTCTAAGAAGCAGCTCAAGAATTGGATTCAATATGCTACCTGATCTTATCATGCTCTTCCAAGGTTCCTATTCATACCAGGCAGTAGAGAGGATTTTTGCTTGTCTAGAACTAGCACCTACAGCAGTCAATAAAGTTGAAAGTTCCTGTAACACCCCTTTCCCCAAAGGGGGATTTCTTACCTGTACTGCTCCTGCTGATAGAGTTCAGCTACGATGGCAAGAAGTCGACTGATGAAGGTGTCACTGGCATTGTCTTGGTTAGCCTGTGCAGCCAGAAGATTGCATCTCCTTTCTGTATCAGCTAGTTTCCTCTGCAGCTTCACATACTCCTGGCGGAGAAGCATCAGGTGCTTTTCCAGCTTGGCCACCTCCTCTGCAGGGGTACACAGTGTTACTAGAAGGTTGAAACATGTACATCTGTGTTTCGCATCCAAGGGTAGCTTAACCCCACAAGCATGTTACACATCTAGTTTAATCACAAAACACTCCAAATCTCCCCTCTTCACACTACTTGAGCATCTGTCTTGCTGAGTGTCCAAGAAAAACACACAGACTCCAGCTTAACATATAAAGATTAATATATATAGTGGAGCATATATCTCACAGTAACAACCCAGAAAAGCAGACTAACAATGCACCAATTAAAAAGGAAAGATAAGCAGGACAGCAATGCACCAGTGCATTACTGTAAAGCAAGACTGATTAAGAAAAGGATACATCACCAATTACCACCTCAAAACCATCATTCACCTTCACAGATCAGCTGGAAGCCCCACGGCAGCTGGCCCCTGGAGAACTGTGGTAATGGGGAAAGCCCTGTGTGGTGCATCTGAGGCTTCAGAAGGCAGCCCAAGGGTCTCCCGCTTTTATAGCGAGTAACAAACGCCTCACAAGTCTTATTGGCACAAATCCTGTGAGCTTGCAGACTGTTATGCTCCCATTATCAATCCCACCCGGAACACTGGCCAGGTGCCCAGGATGAGACAGGGAATCACACCATGTCCAGTTGGCACACAACAGGAGACTGTCCAGATGTTTATTACCATTCACAGAGGTGGGTAAGTTTAGAAGCAGTAAGCAATCATGAGCAGCAATCAAATATTTTCACTACAGCATCTCACTCCCAATATTAAGCCTTTTATTTTACATCACTGCTAGCCATAAACACATAGAAAGTCATCAGAACATGCGATAGAAGCCACCTACAAATAAAGTTCCTGAATCCAGTCCAGCCAGGAATTCTGTAAGCCTTCTAGAACCATGACAGTGCATAGCTGCAGGAATTATGGTTGGGGTAAAGGACTAACTCTTTAGTTCTTACCCATTCAGTGTAGTTCAGATGCTGTCTGACTTTACAGGTGAGCAGCACAGTTGCTGATGTACCCCATCTATTTCAGATGACTTAACCAACCTGTTTAGATCTCCTTGCACTGTCAGTTAGGAAACTCCTTAAGAAACGGCCAGAGATACTCCAAAACCCATGTTTTAAAAGGTCAGGCAAAAATATATAAAGCTCTACTTACTACTAGCACACCCACTGCGCTGACATTACGCAGAGTCATGGTGGCTCTTTCAATTCAGGAGTAGCACAGCAACACCTCTTGGGAATCTGATCCCTGGCCAAGAATTTCCATCCCACTGCAGAACCTGCTTTTACACCACACATATGGTCACTAAAACATGCTGCAGTGAGTTTGTTCACTGAACTCCCCCCACACACCACCCATGGGGAAAAACCTCTACTTCACTGCAGCAAGGAAAGATGTACACAGCTGCTTAAGATCAGTCCAACAGGAATACTTAAGTATAATGATAACCACAGATAGTAATACGTGATTATTTCCCCAAATCTTTAAGTTGATTTTCCAAATAAGGTACACATCCAAAATGAGAGGGTGCAGGGGGGAGAAATTGAGAGGCTAACCAATGATTTTAAGTGGGAAGGTTCTTACAACATTACTTCCTACCTGCAAGGAATTCATCCTTCAACATTTTTTGCTCAAAATATTTACAAAATATTAGTCATTACTACACACAGTGGGAAACTGAGCTCTATTGACCTGCATTTTCTTCCTGCTTCTGTAGAAAAGTTCAACCACATAGCTGACCTTGCTCCAACACAGGTCCCCAGGGCAGAGCATCCTTCCCCAGCTCAGCCACAGACAGAACGCCTCATTTAGTCTTTCCTCTGTGGGCTGCTGCAGCAAACACTCCCTCCTAAGTCTTTTAACTACTGCAGTGGATAAACAGAAGGTGATTTACCTTTTCTACTCCTCAGTTAAGACTACTTGAGCAGGTTTGGCAGTGTACTTCCTTCTACAGCCATTTATTTAGCTTCATCCCTTAAAAGTTAATAGATGCCACCTCCTTTGGGACACTTTCCCTATTCTATTGAAACAGTGATTTGAGCACTGTGCTACCAATACCACAACAACCCTCGAAGAGGGTTTAAGATTCTGCTCTGGTGTTTCCCCTCCATCTGAATACACATGCAATCTCAGTGCTCCCAGAACTAGAAGGACACATTGTCTCTTGAGCAACTGCTCCTTCCTGGATGATTTAGAAAAGTGAGAGCAGAAGTCAGATAGAAGTCAAAAGTGACCACTGAAAGATATTTTGATAGCCACACCAAAAATCAGCATATGAACATCACCAGTGAGATTTTAGGTGCCATACAAATTCTAATGCTAGGAACATCTGAACACCATAGCATGTATCATATTAAAAGAACTGCATCTTCCAGCCAAGCAACGAGAGTGTGAAGGTGGGAATAAAGAATCAGTACCAGAAGGTAACATCTCAAATGCTCTCGTTTTACCAGAGACAGTTCACTGGCTCCAAATTACTCTGAAGTCCACAGGACACAAGCAGAGCTACCTTAAACCCCCAAATAGCAGTAGCTTAAGCTTTATGTACAACACAGTCGAGCTTGTTACTGCTGCTTCCAGGGTAGTCCAAGACTATCACTACCGGCAGTCAAAGTACCTCAAAGAACTGAGGTTTGCAGAAATCTTGATTTCAGACTGACAGCCTATGCTTCCTGTAACCGCAGAGAGGAACTGACCAGCATTTGCTTACTCTAAGAGTTACAAGAGTTGTAAAATAAGAGTTTCGCTTATTCTACACAAGAACTTGCACACCAGTTGTTTAAGAGCTACTGCTGCACACATGCAGACAGTATTTGATCTTATAGCACCTCTGAGGTGCTCATTCAAGACAGTCCTCAACGTCCAGTTAATCAACATTCACTACAAATGAGCAAAGCCTCCAGTTTTCCCCATACGCTGTTCATTTAAAGAGCTCATATCACACTGTTGCTTCAAAAGCAAAACCCAGTCAGACTCAGGTAGAATCATCACCTCTGTTTAAAAAAGTACACCTGGAATCGTGCTGCTACTTTTCACAGTGATCAAATTTGGAAGGGAGTACAGGATTCATCACTTGTTAAAAAATCACTGTAAAATGACCACTATCTCCAAGCCAATGATCCCTTTCACAGAACGCCTATTATTGCCAGTCACATTAATTATGACCCTTCCTATGACTGTCTCAAGTCCAATGTACAACTCCTGCTCTCACCCCCCACCCCCCGCCCC